ACTGCAACATCTCACACTTGCAAACACAAAAGGACACTCACTCACATACATATCTGCCTGAGTCATCCCAAAGGCATTTGCAACCACCTCACCAAAAAGGAAAAAAAAAAAAGAAACACAGCAGAACACACAAAGGGCTTCAGAGAGCTCAGCTCAGTCTTGTCTCTCAGACGCAGCCCGAGGCGTTGGATTCTGGATGTGTACACTTTGAGCTCGAAAGCACCGCTGCTCATTAAGGATCCGTTTGCAGCCTTGGAGGTACGAATGCAAGCCTCTTTAAATACACAGACAGGGATTTATTTGACCACCTAAATGAAGGTCGGCTTGACAGCTTCTTAGCAGAGAGGTACTTCGCCTCCTCCCATTGTTACAATAAAGCAGATACATGTGAACTCGCAGAAAACTACTTCTCACCATTGTCAAAACGCACACACAAAAACAGAATATGCATATGTTAAAACCTACTCTTTTGGTGGGCAATGTTTAGTTTGCTACAGGTAAATGACAACATCTGCATGTCCTTTAAATGTAGCATGCTTAGTTTGGATGTTAACTAACCCCGACATTATCTGTTACCATTTCTTTCCTATCATTTTTACAACCATTTTGCAACACTACAGTTACTTCAAATGTCTGCGTGTATTTACAGTTCAGTGGTTTATCATTTACTTCATGAATATCACAATGAACTGTGCCACTTCCTCAGTGGATGCATAAAAAGGACATTTCCCTTTTCAGCCACTTGAATGCACATTTTCATCCGTTATTTATTCAGGGGAGGTTCTGCTGAGTGCTGATTTTGCAGTGTCCTTCCTCATTTCTATGCCCTTATTAAACACAATTTCACACCTGCAAGTCAAGCAGAGACTTCACGGAGTCACCTTTCAGCTTTGCTCGAGTGGGCGCTAATCAGGTTTGCTTCTTGTTCAAGGGTACGATGGAAGTCTTTTTTTTAACAGGTATCACTTCTTAATTGCATCTGTTGAAGAGGTTATGAATTTGTTTGAACTTGGATCTTTTCTATTCTCAGTTACAGGTGTCCATCTTTTAAATCCATCTGTTGAACACCACACCAGGGGGTTGGATCTATCCCAGCATGCCCTAGACAAACACTCACATTCGCACATATGAGCAATTCATGGGCTATTTCAGCTAACCTGCATACCTTTCAACCGCAGGACGAAACCTGAGCAGCTAGAAAGAATCCCTCTAGGGCAAACACTTACTTTACTTACAATGTCAGTTAACTGGAATCCTACTCAAGAGATTAGAGATTTAAATGACTTGTTTTGTCCTACGAACTGTCTGAAACAAACCAAAAGGTTAGTGTGAAATATAAGAAAAACGGAGAAGAAATGGACATTTTCACATTTGAGACAGGTGTACGTTTTATCATTTTATCTCAACTGTAGTTAGTTATTTTGCTGTTAATAACTTAGCACTAAAACCATGTGGACATCAGAACTAAATCAACATTTAAAGCCCCCTTATCTGTGTTTGAACCCAGGACCTCATTGAGCCACTATGCTGGCCAGGTACAGGTATGACAAATCAAACAACTCCGTTACAGTCTAACTACTTGCCAATGTCAAAACATCAACCCTAAAATGTCAAATCATACAATGTATTGCCAAAAAAAGCTTTGTGTTGTAGGTATACACAACATTTGGCAATACAATCGTAGTTTCATTGACTGTTCAGATGTCATCTAATGAACCCTTTCATCCAAAACAGTGCAGTAACAATGCAGTGTGACCTCAGTGTTGCTATGCCACTTCCCTCTGAGCTCTGCAGAATGCACCGTAGCACAATGTTAATGCACTGGAGGACAAACTGGGATCAATGCCAGCCATGTTTAAATTGGGATTAGACTCTGCTAACAGCAGCAACTGAATAGCATTAGTGGTTCAGAAGATTAAAAGGAGAAGCACATCCGTTTTGACTAAATGTTTGTCTTTCACCAAAAGGCCCATTCTGATGCAGGTCACACAACAGCATTATATCCTACATCAACAGCTACTCCCAGAGTCTAACGCATTTAAGGATGCCATGGCTTAGTGTTTACCGGCGAGGCTTATTCAAGACAAAGGGCACGTAATGTCAAGGCAAACTAACACAACATGCTACAACTTTGATACAAAAAGAAAACATGTTGATTCATTTACAAAAGATAGAACTTTATATTCCCTAAGTTGGATACACAGAGTCTGTTGCTAGGGAGTGAGAGGCAGGCTCTGCATGAACAGCCACACAAATCACAGTCATTTGAGAAAAAGACACAATTTGTAAAGCCACTCACTCATAAACTCATTACACAGCATAAAAAAGAGACAGGTAATATCCATACCCATAAAATAATCATAAAAGGATCAAACAAATGGGTAAAATAAAACCCAACTCATGAGATAAAACACTAGCACCTGTAGAGAAATGAGCAGAAACATCAAACGAGCCAGATCAAAAGCATTAAAAACATCTGCTCTAGAGCATAACTGTTTAACCTGCAGAGTGGCCTGTGGAGCTAAGACTGTAGATTTAGAAAGTCAAACAGCCTCAGGATGTGTGTGTTTCTAGAACCTGGAATGTTCTGGGCTTCATTTAAGAAGGGAGGAAATTAAAGCAGTTGTTAGCTAGGTGAGAGGGGTCCCTAAGAACTTTAGGACCCTTTATTGGTAGTCTAGCTACAGATTACCCCAAGGGGTACTTCCAATAATGCCAATGCCAATAACTGTCCCTTTTTCTGAGCTGACATGCCATATTGCATCGGTAAAGATGTTGTTCCCTGCTTCTCCTTAAAACTGCATCCCTATTTTTTTCAAATGTCTTCAAAAAAGTAAGTCTAATGCGCTTCAGAGTCTTCATTTGGTTAAGCCACTGACTCTGGGTGTTAAGGCACACACACACTCTGACCTTTCTCCTATCATAAATCACACACTGCTGTTCTGCTGCCAGGATTTTGTTTAACCCAATTTGTCACCGAGGACACCCCCTTCCACTCTAGCTGCGGATCCGCACAGTGGGACCGGGGAGCGTGGGATTAGTGGGCGGATCAAAGTGTGCCATCCAGACCTCTCTCTCGCCTTGTAATCGTGGAAGTCAGCAGCCCCTGGAGCTGATGATGGTAACCAGGCAAAGAGAGGAAGATAGACTAGAGTCATGCGCTGAAACATTTATCAACCACTGATTCATCTATGAAATATATTTGAAGCATTAAGTCTGCGAAAGTAGGGACAGAAATACCCACCACATGTTCTGGAAGCCGAACCACAACGTGAAGACATGCATTGGAAAAAGTAGAAACAGGAGTGTATTTGACCTTTTGTTTGGAACATGACTTCATTAACATGCAATCCCCTTTTTAGAGAAGAAACCCAGAATTGAAAGGCAGAAATAAATGTCTTTTATTCTTGAACCTGTTCATTTACAACCATGATCCTGATGTCTTTGTAAAGGTTAACTCTACTGAGCGAAATATCAGTCAGAAGTCACAATTAGTCGAAATGATACGGAACTGCATTTACCTAAATACCAAATGTATTGTGTTTTACTTGCCTATGACAAATAACTTCCTTTTTCTACTGTTGTGGTTTGAAAAGCGATTATCAAAACTGTTCTGGATTCATTCTGATTGACTTGGACGTTCATGTTTTACTTCTTGAAAGGTTAAGGAAAAGCAAGCTACAAAAGCCAGCAGCACACACTGAAAGGCAGTCAGACAGACACGATCAACTCACACATTATTATGACAGAAACAGGTCACGGAAGGTGTGCCAAGAAATATCAGAAAAACGTGCTGTCTGAGGGCAATTGCTGTGGTGTGATTGCTGTTTTGACAATAAGAAAAAAACGTCATCATTCAGTATGCAGGCATCCCTGATCTGACAACCCCCAGACTCCTCATCATACAGTAATAAAGGCTCGGCGGTGATTCAGAGCACACTTCAGGGTGAATAAAAAGTCAATAGGAACCTTTGCCACAGCACACTTTTACTCTGCTGCTGTGGTCATGTAAACTTCCAGTGGCACCCGACACTTCCTCATATCGGCTTTGGGAAATATGAATGAGCTCAAGCGTAGAGGGAGCTTCATAGAGTCTGAGGCGAGTGACATCGACGATCCAAACCTCTAATCGTACCACCATGTCGACTTGTGTTTTGTTTGAGCCATACTATGCACCAAGATCCATCTTTGACTGTCTCTGCAAAGGACTCAAATCCTTTACTTTGCCTTTTCACTTCCACCCTTTTGCTATATGACTCAATTTCAAATAAAGAAGACTGGAAACTAAATATTTGACGAATTACAAACACTTTTCTCTATGTGTCCAGCTCTATATTGAGCTACTAATTTTTTTTTAAAGGTCACAAAAAGTAAAAGCAGAGTATTATATTCTTTCTGAGTGCTGGATTATATTCATGTATCACTATATAATCTAAATGTGATGTTTTAGCTGTCAAAGCAATGCAACTCATTTCAGTGACACATTTCATTTTCCCAGTTATGCAATGCAAAATGTGCTGAACCACACACAGCATATCGACTTATAACATGAAACAACAAACCAGCAACACATAGATCTAGAGAGATGATCAACTTTGAGTTTGGCAGAAGCTAACCACCACCTGTGTGCAGGTATGGCAGCTTCACCTGTGCAAACCTGATCAGGCCCTGCATGTGTTCAAACAGCATGAACATCTGTTACACTGCTGTATTATCACATGTATTCTGATAGAGGCTCTCGACTGGGCTAGAGCCAAGAAGTGGGCTTGTTGTGACAGGAAAAGATTAAGATCTGTGGACCAAACTTGTGTAAAATCCAAACATAAGATGCTGTTAAACATCTCATTGAGCTCTCCAAACAATGCATGGAACATGTCAGCAATCCCAAGATGAGCAATGTACATACAGTACAAGATTGTGTGTGTACAGTCACCAAACAAAGCCTGGAGGTGTGAAATCAAACAGCCCCATCCCCATCATATGTTGGTTTGAAAACTCACCTGTGACATCTGGGGTCTGAAATTGATCTCCTTCAGGTCCACTGATCCCGGGGAGAGGTTGTGCAACATCTGGCACAGCAGCACCCCGTCTCGCAGGGCCTGTGCCAAGTCGAAGACGGCCGCCGAGGGCCACACGACCCGGTGGTTGGGGGGCAGGACCTTGCAGTCTATCAACCACCGCCCGCATTGTCTCCACTCCTCCATAGCGGCTCCGGAGACTCCACTCAAAGTAACCGAGTCCTCCAGCGGGTTCACAGCGGGCTCAAAGCGGTCACTCACGGCGAACAAGCAGGCACTACTGTCGGCTCCCCTACCTGCACCGGGTATCCTAATCATTCACTCTCTATAGATCTATAAATCAGGCTATTTCGCAACTGTATGTCACCGCGCTAGATCCCCATTCCAGACGCATGTCAGCTCTCCTGTCTCCACAACATGGAAATGAAGGCTTGGGAAAAATAATAATCCAGTTCCGCGGATGTGACCAGATAAAAGAGACGTGCTATGGGAATTTTCTCCTCTTCATTCTTAAAAAGTTTGTTCGCATATCCAATCCAAAAAGGCGAGAGTGGAGGGTTACAGTAGTGCTAATGAAACAGCTGGGTACAGCGGTTTGTCATGTATCTACTTCACGAGGGGCTCACATTTCAGAGAAGCAAACAGCACAGCCTACTACTATACAATGTAGGGGGAAAAAGCAAGTAGTTGACGAACTGAAAGCCCGGAGTCCCCTACCTACCTACTGCATTTGCATTTAACGTTCCCAATGAAGCCAAAAACATGAACTTCCCGTAATTTCCATAGCAAACAATGAAGAAAACAGAGCAGTCTTTCCTCAGCCCCGGGATAACCCTTGTTCCATAGAGTCCAAACAACGCACCGCAGGGGGGGGAAATCAATGTTTACATTTATCCGGTTAATGTGACTTTGTTTGCCGCCTTTCTGCACGCCCAAAACAGCGTCACCCGTGTGTACAGCTCGGTTTGTATGTGATTTTCGCCTCCCTTCCGCTCGTGTCCTCTCTCCCCCGTCTCCCTCTCCTCGATTCCCCTCTCGGACGGGGATGTTTAGCGGTCCCAACTCCAGGCACGAGCCGCACTGAAAGCTTCTAGAAGTCTCACGCGGGGTCCACCCAGGTGGTTTAATGAGCTTGCACGCGCGCGCTTATTATCCCGTGCAAAGGTAACAGTTGAATAGTGTCCACACTTTCGTTAAAGTGGCTCCACACTCAGAGAATGTGAGTTTCAGGGAATATTTTTGGGACTGAGAGCTGAGAGGATGCGCCCTCTGACGGAGGAAGCGCACACTGCGACTGACACAAGAGGATTAAAGGGACAGTTCCATACAAAAAGGGTTATTGACTGTTACCATGTGTAGCTTATTTTGATGGAAAGAAACTAATTGTTTTATCTGCCCAGTTTGAAGTGAATTATTGTGAGTATTCAACAACTAAAGGCTCAGTCCACCATGTCCAAATTACGGTAGTTAATTTGTCATATTGGTAATACTCATATGTTGTCATAATCCTAATCTAAAGCCCTTTATTTGTCCAACAGTTTTGAAATTAAAGGGGATGGTGCAGATAGAAGGCAAACCTAAAATGAGAAGTCAGCAAATGTCAAAAAAATGAAATTACAACATTACAAATAAATTGAAACGAGTACACAACTCACAGCATTTTTTAACAAAAAGGTAGAGTCGTGGGCATTTACACTGATTGCATTATGGGAAATGTAGGATCCACTGTTTATGGAGCTTGACCCATATACATGCCAACACAAACTCTCAGGTGTATAAAACCCTACTCAGAATACACTATACATCACAAACTATAATGAGAACATTTAATGTATTTCCATGAGTCTGATATTCAACATAAGTCAATTAACCTTTATTTTAATCAAGTTACAATTTGAATTGTCACCACACCTATTTATTCATAATGTTAATAGATTGGGTTTAGTTTGTGAGGGGTTAAACGTATAATAAAAACACACCACACAAACCATAATTACCATGGTTGGAAATGCACTGAAAAATGTTTGGCTTGTCATGACTTGTTTCATTATACCTGTAATTTTTGGGGACGACATAATGTCTGAACCAACACTGATAGGTAATGATGTATTTCCTTATTAATCTTGAATCTCCTTTTTTCTTTTCCCCATCTTTCTCGTCTTTATTAGATTTCCCAATGTCATTCCTTGTTAGTAAAATAATCAAAATACTTCAATTAATCACTTAATTGACACTAAAAACAATATGCCACCTGTTTCTTGTTAAACCCTCTTTGTCATGTCTCATTACCTCCTCAGCTCAGTCATAATCATCTCTTCCCACCTTCACATTTCCACAGGGACGTAACAAATGTGGCTTAATTTATCGCTGGGCATAAAATAGAGCAGCGCATCAAAGTCTGATGTTCTGAGCTTCTCCTTTCTTTTATCTTTTTAATGATTGAAAAGCTGGATTTATATATGAAGACTATATGTACAAGTGGACTCATTGAAATTATAGAAGATTATGGCTTTAGGAAAACAACGTTCAGTTGTTCACAGCCAAACACTGTTTACTCTTTGTCGTCTGTCTGAGAGGATCCTTTTCCCCCATGCGTCTTTGATGCTTTGGTCGGGACAGGCCAGTAAAAGTGGCGTTTCAGACAGAAATGTGGCAACTCCATTGTATAAAGTATAGGAAAATAAATGCACAGAGAGGTTTGGATGGGGTACCCTCGGGTACCCTACATTCTGGCTCCATTATTTTTATATTTCACATTACAATGGATGTCAGTGAGGTATAAAGATACAACACATAAGATGTTATAGCAATGAGGCTAATAGATAACACCATACAAACGTCCCTGGATGATGGATCACAATATGGCAATTATCTACTGCAATACAAATGTTCTGAAATGTTATTTTTAAATATTCAAATTGTGCATTATCTTATTTTGCATTTAAATCATCCCCCCCCTGCCTAAAACGCCTCGATTGGACTACTTTGTTTACTTCCGTAACATAGTGTCAGCACTATGTTACACTCATATGTGTGATAGGCTAAGGGGCGGGGCATCTCTAAACAGTTGACCAATCACAACAGAGTCGGCCAACCAATCAGAGCAGACTGGGCTGGGCTCTGGTTTCAGACAGAGGGTGAAAAGAGGTGCTGCAGCACAGGCATTATGAGAAAAACAGACCTTTTTGAACATTAAAGCATTTAAACATGTCACAGTAGATAATTTAAAAAAATACAAATATGAACCAGAGAATTAGCATAGTAGGTCCTGTTCAACTATTTGAAAGTGTGGATAGTTTTTATGAACATAGCACCTTAAAAAGCAAACAGGTTTACATCAAAAAGACATATTTAGACATACGTACTGTATACTTGCATGTGGAATTAAAATTAGATTAATATACAAACAAAAAAATAAACATGAAATTAGTTTACGCAGAGAAACAGTCTGAAGCCAGATCATAGCAGTGTGTCTGAGGGTGCCTTTTACAAACATCCACAGACTCAGCCTGCCTAATGGCCGCCGGCAGGCTATTCCAGAACCTGCTTCTGAAAAAGTGTAGTGCAGAGAAAATGCTATCTGCAGTATTGCACTGCTTATGACCCCATACTAATGGAGTCCTCCATGAGCTGTTGGAGGTGATCCATTGTATTCCAGGCCTTCTTCCCTCAGTAATCATCCAAAGTATAAGTGTGCATCCACTCTCTGATGCACCTGTTGCCCCTGAGATCATTTGGGCTGCAGAGTAAAGGTTTTATCTATGAGCTGTGGCTTTTTGCTTTTATTTGGCTGCCAGCTTCACCTCACGCAGACATACAGACTGCTGTCAGCTTCACTAAGGCTACTCCTCTGATTGGCTGCCACCCCTTATTTCTGACCCAGAGGTCCAAGCCTGCAATATAACAAGCAAAAGCCAACAACTAACTGACATCCTGTTTGACACAGGGAGTATTTAATTTGAGGTCAAACAGTTCAGGGTCTGGAAGAAGAGCCTCACCCAAGGGAGAGAATCGCTGGCAAGGGGGCTACAACTACTACAAGATGAACATATTTGACCGTGATTTAATTGTAATACACGTTTCAAAATGATGCCGAAGTAACAACATACTGATACCGGTTAGTAAAAACCATGAATGAGGCAGGCGAAAAACCTTTTAAAATGCGTGTTGTCTAAATGGAGATCGGCTAAGCTAACGCAGTGTATGCTCCGACCGTCCACACTCACAACAACGGCCTATACAGACATAAATAAACCAGCGACTGTATTCGCCATGACACAGACAGTCTGTGGTTTGTACTTGTTTAACTTTTGTCTAGTTTCTGAACAGATATGAGGAGCTGTGAGCTTGAGTGCTAACAGCTGTGTTGTTTTTCTGGGGTTCTCATTGAAGATGACGTCACGGCTCCGCCTACACTACGTTACTATAGATACTACACCAGTTCCTAAACTGTAATGGAAATGCGCCATAAAGTGAGCCAGTCCTAACGAGGCCTAGCCATACTGAGCGAGGCCGAGCGAGGCCGAGCGAGGCCGAGCGAGGCCGTGTAGTGGAAATGCTCCAGGACTAAAAAAGGTCAAGTAACTTAACCTGTTAAGCCCCAAAGCCCCCGTCGACGGGTCTTTTTTTTTTTCACAAAAAAAAAAAAAAAAAGGCAAGCTTTATTCAAAAGCCGAAAACAGGAAAAACAAGAAACTACTTCAAATAAACAAAACCGGGGAGCACAACAAGAACAAACGTACAAGCAGCCAGGAACATGGACAAAAACGGGCAGGTAACATGGACAAGCATAGACAATCAGGGAACAAGGACATGAAGAGCCGACGAACAGACATGGAGCACAAGGGAAGACAAGACTAAATACAAAGAAAGGTTATCACAGGACAAGACACAGCTGGGCAGGGGAGGCAGAAACACAAGGGCAACAGGTGAACACAATCAGACAATCAGACACACCAGGGAAACTAACGACAGGGAGACAAACACAGGGGGTGTTTCTCAATCGCGAGTACGCTTGCTTGGTAGCACATGTCTGCCGAGCATCTTGCTTCAGAAGCGAATCAAGAATACTTCCTGGCATTCGGAAAACGAAGAGTGGAACACGCTAGCAAGTGTGCAGGTGTGCGTCATATGAGAGGCCCCGCCTTACATCTTCCGCCACAGATTTGGGGAAATTGGTCCGTGCGCAAAGCATTGTGGGGATTTTAAGACCGCGGAGTCTACTCATGTGCAGCCTCGATATTTCTCCAAACGGAGTACGCCGGGCTCGGTAGATTTCCAAGTATGCTGGAGATTGGAACAGTACTTCGGCGGCACTCGATGACGTAGTATGCTTGAAATAGTGGCTCTGAAGCAGCTTTACTCGCGATTGAGAAACACCCAGGAAGTAGGACCAGACAAGACACAAGGAGGAAAACATTTCAAAATAAAAGGTGGAAAATTAAAACATAAATCCAAAACCATGACACTATGGTTTGAGCTGTGGAGCAACGTTGCTACACGTTTGGATGTAAGACTTGGTTGGTATAGAAAGTCATTTTTTTAAAAGTCTTACAAGACGTTGGGCCTGTTAGCAAAATCCAAGGCTCAATGAGAAACACTGAAGATGCCTGAACAGTAGTTGGAGCATTTTCAATTTGGACCTCGTGAGACTCCATCCCATCTCCGGCAGTTTCACACATCTAATCACTTTGGTGGAAAGGACAGCCAGAGAGCCTGAGGCTGTTTTTCTATCGTTCACACTGACTGTGGCTGTGAGTCTTTCAGGAGAGCTGGCTGTGTGTTCCCCAACACACATCAGGCTCCTGCGCCCCAGGATTTAATCCCAACAACCAGCACACCAAAAGTCATCATGGAATCACCCAGAGGTCCGTCTAAGTCTCATCACTAACTGTTGGACTTTGGGATAAACCCCCTAAAAGCTTAAAATCCTTATTGAAAGAGACTATACATGCAGTTTATGGGCATTCGGAAAATATATCCCTTGTGGTTTCCTGTGTCTTAAACCCAGTTATATGTAGCGTTCCTATACTGGTATTGGACAGGAAGTGTGTGGTAAGAAGACAAATATGACTCCTGCTGTATTTGTAATTGAAAGCTATGTTTTAACGCACCATTTCTTCAAGATACATGTCTGGAGTAGTAATGGTTAACTAAAACCTTACTAAAGGCTGACACAGCTCTGCAATTTTGGGGCATATAAAACTGTGGGATCAGGGTGAATG